TTTCTTCTCTAGTTTGAGGTTATGTAATTTATTAGATATTGATAGAAATAAAATCGATGAGAATAAAATAGAAAACTTGTTTGTTCAAGTTCAGATTTTTAATACTAAAAGTTATCTTATAATAACTCTTTAATAAATTCATGTATATTATTACTAAAGCTAATGATTGATTTGATAATTCTTATTACAATTTATCATTCTTCTTTCTTATATCATTCTGCCTTGACTGACAACATCCAAAAATTCAAAAAGAAATTACGAATAATCATATTGTTTTCGAAGTTTCCATTGTCAATAACTCCTCCCTTAAAATTTCGGCGAATTTTTTTTATCACAGCCGAGGTTCACCTCGTGCGGGCCGTATTTTTACCGTGAAAATAAAAAACGACATCCACCGGTCGACAATGGAAAATATATTATCGAGGTTTCGCCGAATATATATATATATATTTTTTTTTTTAAGCGCGCGTTCTTTCGCATTGGAAATTTCCATTAATTCACCGGCGAGCTTCGATATATTTCATGGAAGCTCGATCAGACAGCGTCGAGCGTTTTTCGTTTCAATTTGCCTCTCCCTTCCTTTTCATCCTCCTTTATCTTTTCCCTCCCCTCCTCTCTTTCTCCACATGCATCCCCGTGCATGGAGATACTTGAAACCACAACTTAACCCAAATATCAACATTGGTTATTTTTAATTGCTCCATAGGGACTCGCGCTACTATTAATAACCCGCGCCTCGAGAAGAAGGGAACCTCGATGATCATAAAGCGTGGAATTTTAATGACACACACATACACACACATCGATGCGTGTATACACGATTGTCGCAAATTATAAGGGAAAATGTGCGGCGTTCGGCGCGCACATTTAAAGATTATAGGAACCTATAAAGCTTTAGCCCGCGCAACATTTTATAAAGCCGATTATTCGGTATCTCGAGATGGGGGGAGGAGGAGTGGAAGAGAATCCGGGGAAGGGGAAAGGTTTTGCCCGTTTCTCCGTTTCGAAAACTGACGAATCTTCCAGGAATTCGATGTACGCTCGACCAATCCCGCGATGGAAAACGTTGTATCCCCTTCGTAACAAGGTTGGACAGGATGAAATGATTGTTGGAAGGATGAAATTTCCAAGTGTCTCCGCTTTCGTTAATCCTCTCCTCCTAGACCCCTTTCGAGCTCTCCTCTTTTGTAATTTGTTAATGGAGAAATTAAGGGGAGAGACAGTAAGTGTGCGCGAGGACAGGAGCGAGGATGGAAAAAGGATATTTGGAAAGTAGTTTCTTTATTGTTTTAAGATAGATATTTTAAGAATGTTTCTCCTGTTGGAAATCTTATATTATCTCGTGTACAGATTAGAGAAACACTCGTCTTTTTTTTCAGCAAATGAGCAATACATTAGAAATTATTAGTATTCATAATATTTTTACACCACTTAATATGAGCCAAACATATGACCGTTTACACTTTTCGAATAGCTGTAATGACACACAGATGTATTAAAATTAACCAACCACAAAATGATAAAATTCTTATTATATAGCCACTTACAAAAGAAAATATAGATAGCGTATATACCACGCGTGTGTATTAATCATAAACGAAATATATGCTAAAAAGGGAGAAATGTTTATTAACTCCCTGCTCGATGTAACTAAATGGCAACTGAATAACAGTGATTTTATAACTCCAAAATGATAAAATTCTGAACACGATCATTTACAATTTCAAATGCAAAGAAAACACGTGTCATCGAGTGTACACATGTAATTAACATACGCGCGTATTAATCGTGCACGTATAGAAAATGCACAGAGATGGAGAAACATCGCAAGGATAAAGAGAGAGAGAAAGAAAGAGAGAGAGAAGAAACGTTTATTAACTCGCCGGCCGGTGTAGCTGGCACGGCTAACGACGACGTTTAGCCTGAAAGAAGGCGTGTGTGCTTGTTTTGAAGGGATCAAAAGGGGGAGAAGGTTGCAGGCAGGGGCAGGCAGGCAGCGGCCGCCTCTGAAAGCCCGCGAAATTTCCAGCGACGCAAACATTTTTTTTCGCCTTCCCTTCTCTTAGTTCCTCGCTATATTCTTTCCTCCATTATTCTCTCTTCCTCTTTTTCTCATCCTTTTTTCTCCCCCTCGTGACTAGAGAAACGAGCGTTTAGGAAAGAGGAGGGGGGGAAGAAGGACAAGTGACGAGCAACGGGTTTCACACGAACGAAGACGCCGCGACAATTATATATGCGACGCCTTATTATAATCTACCCCCCTCCTCTCTCTCTCTCTCTCTCTCTTTCTCTCTTTATATATATAAATATCTTCATGTCGTTTAAAGCAGCTGGAACGTCAACGGGACCACGCGTATAATAAGGAAGAAAAGAAAGGGAAGCGTGGCGTGGTGAATATAGGATTCTACACGGTCCCTCTGTTGCCGGCCTAACCTCATTTAGTTAGAAAGTGTTTGCGCGATGAGACCGGCGCGAGGTTTAATTGGAAACGCCTCGTGTCTATCGCATCGCGTTCAAACCCAGAGGAGAATGTCGTCCTCCGAGCCCTCGGCCGTAATTGGTCGCCTTTCTCGCTTCATCCGAGACCGCCACGATTTTCCAGAGGGGATACCCATCCGCAGACACCCACCCATCCAATGATAAATTTGTATATTCGGACTAATGGCGCGCCTCGCGACGAGTCTCGTCGAACGGAGTTCGGGAACGAGATTCATGAGATTCTTGGTAGTTGGATGAAATTCTGTTCTGTTTGAGATGAAAAAAAAAAAAAAAAAAAAGAAAATAGGTGAAGTAAGTTTTGATTTTTAGGAATTGTTTTGCGTAATAAAATTGTGTTTGATGTCAAGATACAATAGAGTTAATTGATTTTTTTATTGATTGGAGAATGAATAATCGGGTAGTATATGTTCAAGATGTAAATTATCGTACTTTTTGTTTAAAATGTGACGTAAATAGTGGTATTTCAAAAATATTGATCTTAATAATTGTCTTTTGGTAAATAGAATTATCATATAAATATTTAAATAAATGGAGATATTATAGTATATATATATATATATATATATATATATATATATACATAACAATAATAAAATATAGAGAAATAATAACTATTTTAAAAAAATTATATACGAAGATTAATTAAGATAGGATCAATAATTGATAAAAAAATTCTATTAATAATGTAATAATTTAATAATATAAAAGTCTTTCTTTCATATCATTATTTAAGAGATATTCTCATTAATATTTCATAACATTCTTTAAGAATTTCTTACAGCAAAAGTATAAGAGTTAATCTATTGAAATTTTATTATATCATTATACTATTTTATTACACTATTATACAATATAATTACTCTATTCTAATAACTTTTTTCTTTTTTTAAAAAATATTTCTTTAATCTGTTCTCGAGAAACATAATGGCGGAATTTAATTTTTAATCTCCACGTAATATAATATATTATGTATATATATAAAATTTATAAATCTCTTTAACCTGAAATAAAAATTTTAATTTTCATAAGTTTAATAAGAATATGGAAAGATCAGGATATTAAAATAAACATTTTATGACGAAAATTCTTAAAATGGTGGCCATTAAACTAAGATACTAAAATTGTAAGATACACGTAAAAAATTGTTAATAAAAAGGAAGTATGTATTATTCAAGTGATTTTAATAACAGATCGGGGCAAATATATATATGTCGTAAATATAAATCGTTAAAATTTTATCGATAATATCGTACAAATGTTAATATTTCTCGCCAATGAAAATATTTCTGAATAAAAACAAGAAACAAAGGAAATGTTTCATAAAATGAAATTTTTATCAGACTTGTAATAAGTCGTAAACGAATCCGGATCGCAATACCATTAAAATCGATTCATTAGTACCAGCTACTGAAGGGAAAATCGCTTTGTTAATGCTTCGATAATACGTACGACATACACTGAACGATCACCGCATACATACTTATATTTTTGCGAATTATCAATTTTTAGTCAACATCATTGAATTCGTAATGCGTATCCAACATAAATCTGGACTCGTTAATGTACCCAGCTACCCGTATAACCCAATGAAATATTAATGAACGTAGAAATATTCGTTTTCACGAACAAAGAGAAATCTCGTAATTATTGGCGCCCCCTTTCGCTTTATCCAACCCCTTCTCTTGATCAAACCTTACCCTCGTAGTTTCAAACATCCCTCCAATAACCTACTGTCTCTTTTCCTAAATATTAAATTGGCCACAAAGTTTTTATTAACATTTATATTTGCTCGAATTGCTTCTATGAACCGATTCCACATCAATCAAATTGGATTGTATTGTAATTAATATTTCGTGAATTTAGTAATTTATTATCTTATTACATACATTTTTTGTGATATCAGAGACTCTTCGTTATTATTGATGAAAATGTGTGAATGTATTGATAATTTATCTACAAAACAAGGAATAGATAGCATGTAATTAATTTTCTAGTGTTAACAAATGTGTGTTAACTGCACACATCGATACAAAAAAAGCATTCAGAATTAGTGGAATTGGGTAAAAAATTATTTTCCAGCAGAACAATATTACATGCATCGAATAAGAATTGGATTTAAATATTCTTCTTCATTTACTATAATATATTTTCTACAATTTTATCACCTTTTTTTGAAATTTTTTGTAAAATCTTTGATTCTGAAGAGATAAAAACAATATCTAGATCAAATTTTCGAAAAACAAGGATTTCTGCAAATGAGATATTCTTCTTGAATGATTGAAGAAACAACACAAATTAAAATGGAGAATATCTAACGGAGTAAAGATATTTATTTTTCTAAAAAAAAAAAAAAAAAGAAAGAAAGAAAGAATTTTCCATCAGTTTTACATACCCTTATCTTTAAAACGAATATTTTTTTGCGTTTCAAATTAGAATTCAATTGATCTAATCAGAGGTAATTAACGTGGCTAATTAATCGACGTTATTCGCTATTGTTTCAGGATGTTTGGAAGTAGTGGTGCTTGTGCAGGTTGCGGCAACGCGATACCTGCCACCGAGCTGGTAATGAGGGCGGGTGGATCGGTATTTCATCAGAAATGCTTCACCTGTAGCAAATGCGGAAATCAACTCGTTTCCGGCGATAGGTAAGATTCAGATCTGATTAATAAATGACTCGCTAACAATTGTTACGTTCTCACTGGAATAACAACGAAAAAGAACTTTTTGTTGTCTCTTGCATGTTCCACAAACATTGCCAACTCATAGAAATATTTTCTCTAGATTGAAAGTAACATAATTTCACGAATATTTTTAGTTTTTCTTTTGAAACTTGTTAAATTAGCAAATTAATTTGGTTCAAACTACGATTAAAGAAAATTTATTATTATCAATGATAAGAAAAAAAAAAGGAGTAAAAAATGTTCGACTAAAGAATATCGAGTTTAATCGAATCTAGACTACAAGAAATTCAGAAACAACTTCATATCATAACTTATTAACAGATGGATAAAATCTTTAGAATTTTAATATTATACAAATATTCATATCTTCTATACTCCAATTAATTGGATAATTAAATCAAGATAAAAATAATAGAGCATCAACAAAAAATTTTTCATTGTTTCAGTGAAGAAATAGTTGTATAATTATATCACAACACTAGAGTATCTTGGTATATCCGGGGAAATCTGGGGATGAAATGGAATCAATGGTAGATGTCGTGAACTCGATATTATTAGAATTTTACCAATAATTCCGTTTAGGGTGAATATATACAACTCGAGGAGAAAACGCGGCAATTAAAGGGTTGGAAAAGAGGCGTGTCACACGGGACTGTCGGTTAATTGGTGGGGATCGCAACTGGGGATTTTGTAATAAAGGAGGAGGGACACAATTATCGTGGCCCGGTAATGAAGCAATCTTGTTTATGAGCATCGATTTCGTGGATGCTCTGTGTGTGCTCTGCTTGATTACAGCCGTTCGTTTCGAAGCACAATTTTTGTTCGTACGAAACGATTACCTGTATTACTTTTACTACTTCCATTGGTATTGGCACAGGCGTAGTGCAAGTATACAGATATATACTATATGTATATAATCAATTCTTCGTACAGAATAGAAATGTAAGACGAATTACGAGTTATTGATCATTTAACAACCTATTAAATAGTCCCATTGATCGTGTACAATCCTATCTATAAGTCATTAGATTTTATGGTATTTCAGGATACGTATAAATTACACGAATATTACAATGTTAACAAGCAATATTACATTCTTAGATACGCAGCACAAATTGCAGTTACAAATCGCAATAAATATTTTGTCAAAATTTTATATGATCGCAATAAAATAAATAAATAAATAAATTTACAAAATTAATCAATCCCTACGTTGGAAATTATAACCAATGATTTATAGACAGGAATGTACGTTCACAATTTTACTTTCTACTCTCACCATTATTAAAAAAAATATTATTAAGAGACTCACCACAAAGAATCGAGACTTGTGGAAAAATTAACTAAAAAAAATTCATTTCTTCTCGCCCAGGTACTACTTGCTATCGGGGTCACCGGTGTGCGAGACGGATTGGCACAAAATCGTGAAATCGTCGAGCGTTGCGGCCGCGGCCGCCGCGGCAGCGGCCGGAAACGGGGGTGCACCGGTAAGAAAAGGTAAGGTCGGTCGGCCTCGAAGGAGTCGCGAATGAGGCGGCAACCCGGTCGGTCGCCCGAAGAAGGTACAAGCCTCTCCACAGCCTACGCCCGCCGTCGTACCGTCTCAGGTCGACGTCGTGGACGTGGCCGTCGGAGGGGATCCCTATTCGCCGCCTCCGCCGGGTCATCAGCAGTACCACCATCATCACCACCACCATCACCACCATCATCAGATGGGAGTCGTACATCCGGGACTGGCGGTACAGCAAACGCACCTGCAGGCGTCCACCTATCAGGACTGGTCTCCGTGGGCACAGGACACCTGCGATTGAACAACCTTAACCCTCGTTGAACCTCGAGGCCGTCTCCCCGGCTGAACGAATCCTCTCCTGGCTCGGGCGCCGCCGCCGTTCACTTCAACGTTCTTCCCTTCCATCTCCAACGTGGAAGAATAAAGAGTGTTCTTGACGATCTTTCATCACTGGAAAAAATTGGAATCGTGAACTTCTCCTTCGGTTGGCCGATTCGCGAAACTGTTTTCTCTCGTGAGGTTAGAAAGAAACTTTTGTGACTTGCCTTGTGGACAACGCGACAACCTTGCGCAAGAGGAGACGAAGGGCCGAGCCTGGAAATAACCGGTGAACGAGATTCTCGTTCCGATTGTGACCGAAGAACTCCGTTAAAGAGAGAAGAAAATACGTTTCTTGTTCGTCTTTCGACGTGTCGTGTCCCCGACCGATCGAACGCGTCTTCGATTCGGTGTTTCGCCGCGCGCCATGGCCGCTGCGCGCGCATCCGCGCGATTCGATCCCCTCGAGGACGATCGAGACTATCGATAACCGTGTTCTCGAATCGTGCGCACGGCCACCGCGTGGAGCCGCTGTACGCATCTTTCTCAACTGGTCTCCCTTCCCTAATCGATAATCTTTGCTCAATCACGGAAAATCGAGGGTAATTGAAAAGCGTGTTTGAATGCGTTTTGGGCCGCGTGCATCGTCGCTGACAACAACGACGACGATGACGACGAGATGTCAGCTTTTCTTCAGTCTCGTTCAATGTTTTTCGGTGCTCGTCCGTGTTTAATCGAATCCGCAATCCTGTTAATCGCACGTCAGGTAACCAGCAATCACTTTCGCGCTCGTGTTTCACCGCCTTTCCTCTGGTAAACGCGACTGCATCTGCCCCTCGTCACAGTGGTTTATTCAACACTGGCGCTTTGTAATGGTTTCGTACGGTTGAGATTTTGTAAGCGTGAAATGTTTCGCGGTTTAACGACAAGAAATTTTGAAACAAATTTTGCCGTATTATTTTTTTTTTTTTTTTTTTTTTTTTTTAGTTTTTCATTGCGAAGATTATGTAAACATTCGATTATGTAACGTTAGTTTTATTTTATTCTTAACAATCAGATATTTGATTAATATTTTTGTTTTATAATTTCGAGATTTCGAGATTTTTATTAATTGTGGGAGGAATAATTCTTTTGTTTCGATCAAATTTATCGAAATGCTTGGTTATTTTTATTATTATTATTTTTTTTTTATTAAGTGAATTTTTCTTTGGTTTTTTATTTTTTTTATTTCTTTTCTTTTTCTATATTTTTATTTATTTTTACTTTTTTATTGTTTTTCATTTGTTTAAGTTGAACAAAAAGACCAAGATTTGACAAAGGAATTTAAAGATTTAAAACAAACGAAACAAAGTTATTAGATTAATAATAATTGAAAATGATTATTTGTCTATCGATTATAATAGAACCTTCATTATTCGAATTAATAAGGAGATAAATTTTCAAATAAAGAAGTATTCGAATAATGGAACATAGATTTTTCTTAGATGAATTATTTTGGGGAAAATAATACGCTTATTTAAAACAAAATTAAGATGACGGAGATAAAATAAGAAAAAAGTATCTATTCTAAAAATTAGGGAATTCCTACTTTTTTAACTGTCAAATTGCACAAATCTTTTAATATATATACGCAAAGAAATGTACATCTCATAAATAAATTTACATTTTTTTTTTTAATACCAATGATTATGGATTTCCCAAGGTAATTATGTAGGTACTTTTGTTAATTTCATAGTAACTTTCTTTATTTTCTAATTTTCCAAGTATTTTTTTCCCTTTCAATAGTTAATACTAAGTACACATTTATGTTTCAATATTATTATTGTACACTGTATAAACTCGTCCAATTTCAAATTAAATTAAAATATTTTGCAAACGCGAATATAGATAGCATACAATTCGGTTAGTAGAATGAATATTAGAATATTCGAATAATGAAGGTTCCATTATACTAATTTTACTTTATCCTCAAGAATTAAATTTTAATAATTACTCGAGAAATAATTGTTCCGTTTCCAAACACTCGATTCTTTTTACCTCTTTTTTTTTTATATTCTTTCAAGTAAAAAAATTCAATACAAAATCTAATACAACAGTATTTCTAAAATTAATTAAAATTCAAGATCTAAAAAATTAATAATAATCTAGAATGATTATTTATCCCATTAATTATTATTTTTGTTTCATCTCTCAAATTAATTAATTTGAATAATTACTTTTAAAAAAAATATTTCCTTCTTATACAAAACACCCAAGATTGTTCTCACTTTTTTCTTTTCTTTTTTTTTTTTTTTTTTTCGTATTCCTTTAAATAGAATTTTCAAAGAGGGGCAGGATCTGACGCAGGAATCGAGATCTAAAATCACGTGTACAGAAAAGAAAATACCATCGACTCGGATAATTCGTCGATTGAGAACGTCACCTCCTGGCCCTTAGAAAATTATTTTTCTTTCAAAATCAACCAGCCCTTTCCTCCCTCCGTCCCCCTCCTCGAGACACAGCCTCTCCCTGTAAACTCATTAAGCGTTCCTTGTTCTCGCGATCGTTTAATCGAGTCTCTCCTGTCCCGGAATAAAAGGTCGACATCACGAGGTGAAATCGTCGAACGAGCGAAATTATCATTCGAATTTTCCAACACCGTTGACGTCCCTCGTGGTCGGACCGGTTCTCTCCCTTTGCGAAATTCCCTGATCCAGATTGTGCAATCAGAGGTGGATAAAAAAACTGTTCCTCGAGCATTACCCAACTTTCATCGAATAAGGATTTTTATTTATTTTCGCAAGTTTGTTATTAACGCTATAAACGTTTTTTTTTGCTTATGGAATTATTATTGAGGCTTTCGAATGTGTATTATCATATTGTCGTTTTCAATTTACCTAATATCGCATTCTTTTTTATCAATTTATGGATATTTTGTTGTAGAAATAGAATATGTTCGAAGGTGTCACAATATATTATCAGTTTTTTTTTTTAATTATCTTTCAATCTTTGATTAGAATGAATTATAAATACGCATACGAAAATTTGAAGTTTCAATGGAGATATTATTTGCAAGCCTCAATAGTAAATTGAAGCAAATTTCTAGATTTCTTTTTGAATTTATTTGAGAATGAAACTCTCGTGACAGTATTTCTCGTAAGTAAATAATTAAATATTAAGAGTAATTGTTCTGAAATAACTTTCACTTTCGATACGTGTCTATTAGCGAAAAACTTTCGAGAGAAACTTAAATCTTGAAAAATTTTCTTCTCGAACGAATTTCTATTTAACAATTGTGAATATAAAAAAATATTTATCCAATTAACTGTCGCGGAATCAAAATATGTGTCATTTAAAAGAATACATATTCCAAAAATTATATCAAAAAATTTAATCGTTAGTTTCTTTCACTGATTCGAAATTTGAAAAAGAGGAAAACATATTTTGTGGATGATATATATCTCAAAAAACTAGAGTTCCAATTCTAAGAATTCGTAGCGACAGTTAAGTGAATACTATCGAAAAATATCGAAAATGAATCTTTACGTTTTGATACATTTTCCCGTTCATGGAGAATATTTGCACAGAGAATAATGCTCACGTCGTCGAGAATTTTGTAATGACAATTGAGTACTGTCAAAAAAAAAAAAAAAAAAAAAAAAAAAAGAAAAGAATCGACGATTTATAAAGAGTATATAATGTTCGAGAAAAAAAATTCCTCCAGAGTCGAAACAAGGTTGAAACACTCTGTCTGTCTGGCGACGAGAGCGCGAGCACCGATGCCCAAGAACGCTTCGTTCGGCGAAAGGATTGAAGCGTGTAATAACAATACTTTTTCTAAGTGGCCAGGGTTTCGACATCCGCAATAAACATTTACGTAAATGTATATTCGTGAACACGTTACGATGTATCTACCTATCGGCCATGCCTGTTGTCGGTTTCCGTGTCGAATGCCCCTTTTACAAATTGTACAAAGTGTTTCCTTTTCCATCAAGTGGCGCCACCGCATCGCCGGAAGTCGAACGAGGAGAATCGGAACTCGACACAGGTTCGGCCACGTTCGAAGCTCAATGCGAAACTAAAGACACATGTTTTGGGTGTAAATCAACGCGGATACGGTTGGATCGGGCTCGCTTTATGGCTACATTTTCTCGTATCCGGAGGAATAACACTTTAGATGCGATTATTGAAATCGTTCGCGGTATATATAAAATATCTCGTACGAGTTTCGACGAATTCGTGAAAATTAATAAAAAAAAAAAAAGTAGTTTATCGAGTAATAGAAAGTAAAAAGAATTGATAAAGGATTCGTGATCAACGATTTTCTCTTCGAGATTCATGTTTGTGAATTTATTGAGTTGAGTAATAATTTAAAAATCAATTTAACATGATCTGTTTGAAATTATTTGAATATTTTTTCTTCTTTCATTTGCATATGTCAATAATTTGACCATTTGTTAAATGATAACGACCTGATTAGATTTATTTTACAACTCGAAATTCCGTCACAAAATTTGGTGGACCATTGATACATCCGTTCACTTGCAATATTTATTTATAAAATATAATATTTTTGAATAGTTACATTTATATATTTATCAAATTCACATTGGAAACAGAAATATCACGAAATGGGCGTACATTGACAGATTTTTGTAACAATTTGTTATAAATGATGTAAAAATTCTTGCCATTTTCCTTTTAATAAATGTTAATGTTATCTTGTTATTAGAGTAACTAATATTAACAGCA